TCTACATAGTACACATGCCCCCTGCCTCTATTTTAACGGCATCTTCTTCCTGGACAGAGCAATCAATAAAGCTTTGGCTCAACATTCACTTTGTGTACCATTAGTTTTCTTTTTACTGAATGGGCTCCTGACCCGGCGTTTCTCTAGTGTTCTGTGTCTGCTTCTTGATTTCTCAACCGTTAAACTGAAGCTGGTTCTACTGGGGTATTATTCCTGTTAAAAGGAAGTGGTTCCTCTCCACTGTTACTAGGGTTGGTAGCAAAAGCCAATGACTCATTGCATTCAGACTGTGGTAACCTTAAAAATCATTATTCTGACCTTTATAATCAACCCGCTGCAATTGTTTTTTATTTATACTATTTGAGTCATTAGCATGATAATTACCTTCTAACTTTATTTGGTCATTTAGGATCTTGATGTATGTTTGCAGATAATATGCCACCATTGTGGGATGTTGAATAGAACATAACCAGCGTATTTTTAGATATGCTTTATTTGTCACCAGCCTTTTTTGCCCTCAAATGCCTAATTTGTACATGCCATTTCTAGCCTTGCATGGACTGTTGAGCAACATTTCTCATGCACATCCCCATTCCCCTTTTTTTTTTTTTTTTTACAAATTTCCACTGTATGATCAGCACCTACAAAACAGGAAGTGCACCTGAACCTAAGACCATATTTATTTTTTCCATTACCTTAAGTATAAGTCAAACTAACCAGTAAGTGAAAAAGTAATTTCAAGCTCTACAAGCTAAATTTAAAAAAGTAAATAAACTTTGAATATTACTCATACAATCAGACCCTGTGGTTGGAGTTATATAAAAATAAGGTACTTGAATGATTTACTGCCACTTATTGACTACAGAAAGATTTTCCTTTTTTAAACAACCATATCAGTGTGTGCTGTATGTTTAATAAAGAAACACTGAAGTCCTTTGCATTTATGTTGCTGATGTTTTTTTAAAGGAACTATGTATTTGTATTTGAACACAGAGGGGTTAGATAAGTTCTGGAAGCTTGCATGGAAGATCAAAGGTGGATGTTAGAAAATTACATTTGAGATTTACTGTATTTTGTGTGAGTGAATGGTTGTATGTCCTGTTTTGTCTCTGTGTTGCCCTGCGATGGACTGGCGACCTGTCCATGTTGTACCCCGCCTCTCGCCCAGTGACAGCTGGAGATAGGGACCAGCACCCCTCGCGACCCCAATTGGGACAAGCGTGTCAGATAATTGATGGATGGATGGATTTACCGTATTTTTCTTCAGCAAGCAAAGGGTTATTTTTTACGGAAGCCGAAAGCGAAACAAGCGTGTCCCCTCTGATACTTTTTTTTACAGAGGTTTTCTCAAAAAAACAAGTAAATTTTCTCATTATCTAAAGATAATGAAAGCCGTTTTCTCGTGATAACAAGATCATAATTTTCTCATCTAAAACCTATTAGATCCTTCAATACCACAACAGCGGCAGAGGATTTATAAGTAAAAGTAATGGCAGCCTATGTGTAATAATGTGAATAATCCTGTGTTTAACTTTTAGGTAAAGAGACGACATTGTTGGTTTGATGATTTGTTTCCACTTCTGATTCATGAGCAATTAGATCTATGCCTCTGGCGCCTCAGCGGCAGTGTTCTCTCTGTTTTCTGAACAGACCTGGTGTTACACCTGTAACAGGTATAAGATGCATTAACCACTAAAATGGGTCCAGATTAAAGATTTTCTGTCAGATTTGTTTCTACTGTATTCCATGCAATGCAATCATACAACATGACCTGACAATGAGTGGATAGAAAAAGGAAACTAAAAAAATTATTATCTGTCCACACGCGGTACCGCGACTACACAACTACGGGCCCCACAGGCACGGATGGACTGGGAATCCAGGGCTACTTTAAGTACTTTAAGTTACTCATCTCGTTATCTCAAGAAATCAATATCTGTTTTCTCGTAATAACCAGATAATTATCTTGTTATCTTGAGAAAACAATCATCGGTTTAACCCGTGATGACGAGATAGTTGTGTCATTATCTCAAGACGGCAAAGGAGAAAAAAAAGTTTATTATGACCGCTCTTGGCTTCCATAATTCTGGTCTTTTTCTAATGAATAACCTTATTTAATTATTTTATCTAACCAAGTAGAGCAAATGGTGGAGAAATTTTGTGCAAAGGCTCTTACAAATTCATAAGAAATGGAAGTGACAAAGTTTAAGATCCCTGATTTCTGGGGTGTTCCAGCTTTTAAAGAAGCTCGACACACATCCTGTCAAATGCAGGTTAATTCCTTAGCTCATCAATCAAAAAAGAAAAATAGGGATGTATCTGTTAACAGCTGCAAAAACTTTAAACCAATGAAGCTGAAGTACAAAAAAAAGGTCACACTTTTACATAAACTGTAGGTGTTTGTCTGTCTCTGGTGTATTTTTGTTTAAATCAAGCATATAATCATGCAGTAAAAGTACTCCTAAAAGTACAGTTTTCAAAGAAATTACTCAAGTAAATATAACTGAATAAATGTACGGTAACAAATTATCACCTACTTCTGACCACAGATGTTTCCTATTTTCGTGTACCCTGTTGATAAGTGGCTTGTATTTCTCTCAGAGGAACCATGTGTTCCAATTCTCCACCATCTCCATTTTTTGTTCATCAAGGAAGTTATGGGAACTCATGTCAGCAAAACAGTGAACAAAGAGTTAAAAGAAATCTGCCTTACAAATCAATACTCAGCTTAAATCAAACATCTAACAAGATTTAATAAAATAATGTTTCATGATCCCTATTTGAACCAGGCAAATTCTTGGTTCTTAAACTTTGCTGAAATTTTTTTTAAACACTTTTTGTGTAGCAGATAGTTTCTCACAACAAACATATATTTGTTATTAGCAATAATACTGTTGTACAATCAAAGTTGCAATTATGCACTAACATCTGTGTCACAATTTTTATTTGCAGTGTTTTAGTGGCTGTCTAACTTAAGGAAAAAAAACTATTTTTGCTATATGTCTCCTGAGCATCTTCTTTTGATCTGTATAATACTCCAATATATCCAATATCATCTCCAGTTAAGCCAGGCCACCTCAGATGTTTTTTTTATTCTATAAAATGTCACTATGAATCCTGGATATCAGCACCACTGCTGCGAAATGCACACAAGCACAACTAAAATGTAACTACAAAGACTTTTGGTGATATTACTGA